AGATTTCATTAAGCTTTATTACACTGTCAAATGATTTAATAGACTCATAATTTTTTTTTAAATCAACTAAAATGGAAGACATAGCAGCAGTTATGAATATGTCATTAAGTGTCATTACAGTGTCATTAATATTATCTTTTACTTCAAGTAAAATGAAACAAGTAGCAACAGTTAAGATGTCATTAAGTGTCATTACAGTGTCATTAATATTAACTCTTACCTCAAGTAAAGTGAAACTAGTAGCAACAATTATAAAGATGTAATTTAGTGTTATTTAGTGTGTCTCATTCCCTATCAAACTGTCATGAGTTGTGGCAAGTGGTGGTGAGAACGAACGCTGACGACCCAGGTTGTGATGAAGAAGATGAATTTAATGATGAATGTAGCTCAAAACAGTCCAGATCAGGCAGCACGGCATAGACAATAGAACACAGCTAAATACCGGTAGCAACTGACAAAAGACGGAGCAAGGTACCCTCAGGACTTTCCAGTTCAACTGAGAACTACTGACTAAGACGACAACTGACAAGGATCTGACAAAGGACAGAGACAACAGGTGGGCTTAAATACACAGGGAGGGTAATCAAGGAATGAGACACACCTGGGAAGCAATCAACAGGGAAAACGCAGAAACAGAGACTCAGGACAGAAGCTGAACACAGAAAAACCTTAAAATAAATACACAGAAAGACGGATCATGACACAAACAAACTTCTGGGCTGAATAAAATCATTTGAAATGTAAATCTATCAACAGGTATGAATGATTTTGGGCTGAACTTCACCTCAAAACAGAGGTTAGGAGAAGAGAAGGGTAACCTGGAAGCTGAGGCTCAGAGCAGGACAGTAGAGTGCATGTAAACATATGTCAACAGAATAATGCTGTGCTGCGTGGAGGACAGGATGTTTCTGGATGACGTCACTGCGGGTCAAGGGGAGGAGACAGACTGACCTGCTCTGAGAGACGCCGTGTTCTCAGGAAGAACCCCAGAAGACACCCGATGACCACGGCCAACACGGACAGGATGAGGAGACCGTTCTGTTTGAGGACATTCTTGACCCTCACCCACACTGCGTCTAAAGCCACGGCCATCGTGAGCTGCGTGCCCCCTGTCCTCTCAGTAATCCATAAATGTGGCTCTTCCAAAACTTTGAACTCCAGGTAAGACGGTGAAAGTAAAACAAACAAAGGGAAACTCCAGGGGGCAAACGCAAGATATCCAACCCTCTGTGATGTTCTAAAGCACCTTTGGGATCAGCATCCCTGTCGTCCTCACGCTCCGTCCGTCTGCACTAAGCTCAGAGGATCCTCTCACTTTCCAGGCATCACTGCCCACTCTGCTCCACCCATCGGCAGCCCTGCGTGCGCTCACCCACCGCCTGGGGGAGGGAGGAACTGCTAAACCCTGTCCCAATGGGTTAACATCCACAATCCTGTTAGAGTGCCGCTGTATTAGACAGGTCCGAAGCTGGATTAAAGATCTGTGAGCGATTTGACAGAGGTTATCAGAGCAACCTCACGGAGGATTCTGAACCTGGTATGCTGACTGGAGAATGTTTGAGCTCTCTGGTGTGCGGCACACAACTTTCAGAAGTAAAAAAAACCTTTTCACAGAGCAGCACAATGCACAAACTTCATATTCACATTGCAGTGATAACAACAAATGCATTAGCAAAGCATGTATTATTGTCCCTGACAGCAAAAAGGATAAAACAGAATGTAAGAATGATTGTCAAACTGTTGTGTTTTGTAATCTCCTACACATCATTGTCCAGGGTTCTGTGGGAATACTTCCATCTTTGACATTTCCAGGTATTAAAACCAAATTCCTCAACTTTTGCAGCTGATTAACATTTAAAATGCCAACTGTTTTCCTCTCTATACTTAAATGAATGCAAAGAATACCCGAAATATTCCACACATGACCTCAAATTCCTTTCATTCAAGAAGCATTAGCAGGACTTCTACTGGCCTTCCAAAGCCAAGTCCTCATGTCCTTCGCTGCTCTTGTGTGCTGTGTGTTGCAGGCCTTTCGTCCTTCTCAGTAGGCATGGGGATCTTACTATCTTACAATTCATTTCCAATTTTTGGGGCCACAGTTTAATTCAAAACTGATTTTTGCTTCAAAATGACCTTTTAATCTCAAACTGTGGCACACCTGTCTTAGTGAAACATCTAAGGCTCTCCCATACTTCATCCAAAGCCAATCAGTCGATGTGTGATCATGTCATTGCGGAACATTTGTATTTTCACACATCTTTCATAACTGCATAAACCACCTGGGGAACAAGCCTCCTGCTTCAGTATACGTTACGCCACTGTGGCATGCAGGTACAGCTTTCCCACACACTCCCCACATCCTCCATGTTGCTTTTATGAAACGATCATGGAGAGAGCGCCACGCCTTTCTACAGTCAGCCTCCTCCATGGACAACGAAAATTGAATGATGTAATTTTCATCCAACTTAAGAAAAGAGGTAATCAACAACATGACAGGTTGCCATGGACTGGCGACCCGCCAAGGTGCATCCCGCCTCCCGCCCGTTGACAGCTGGAGATAGGCACCAGCACCCCTCAGGATCTCAATGGGATAAGGGTGTAAGAAAGTAAGAAAATGCATGGATGGAGGATGATATTGCCAATGCAGTTCAACATCTTCAAATAAACATTTAATGTGTGAAGATAGATTGATGTATATGGAAAATAATTTACATTCCGTAATGCATAGGGGGTTGCAAGTGTGGCCGTTCTGTAAAGTTATTAACAGAACAATATTCACATTGTTGACAAGCGATCCTGAAGGCTTCTGCTTCCTGCATAACAACACTTTAGTTCTGTTACACTTCAGTTACATAAAAGTAAAAAAAAAAAAAATGAGACATGACAGTTCAGATCGAGATTCCTTTGAACCACATTAACACATATCATATCCAATTTAGGATCACATGGGTGAGCTTTGACAACAGAAGAATTAAATTTGTGCTGCTCAGATGCTTATAAAAACGTAAACTTAAGATCAGAAAAGTTGGAGTTGAACCATTTTTGCCTCCAGTACTCAAGTATTTTGTTCTAAACTTTATGATCATGAGAAAAGGAAGAAAAAACATTCAGATAAAACAGAAAAGTGAAGTTCTGTACAGCTTTTTCAATAGCTACATTTTTATGTCTTAAAAAGTCACCAAAACATTTTATCTTTGGTCAGTATATGTTTCCTGTTTATGCACATTATTGCTTCTTTCCATTCATTTCTGGGTGCTATTCCTGAGACTTCTTTTGTGACAATTTGACCACTTTTGCAGTCCTGTCATCTTCCTGTCGAATAATTATGTCAACAGGAAATGGTTTTCACACTACAATCCCACAGAATATGAGCAAAGATGATAAAAATGACTCACTACTGTTGCGCAAAAATACTCAATGACGTTCTACAGATTACTTATTCCATTTATTCATTGGAATATTTATTCTTTAGAGTAACAGGAGGCCCAGTGACTGGGGAGGTTTTTGCCAGACATTAATACCTCATTATGTTTTTTCGATAGAATTTGTTTACTTTGGCAAGAGCACAGCAGGAACATTCTGTCAACCCATTTAGGGTCATTATGGGGCTTTTAACAGCAAGCCTTTCTCTGACTGTTCTTTTAAGAAAACAACCTGACAGTTGATGTCCTTCAGGATTGAAAAAAAAAAAAAAAAAAAAGAACAAAAAATCAAAAAAAAAAAAGACATAGTTGTCTTCTTTCTTCAGGAAGGACAGGGCAGGACAGTGCTGCCTTACTCTGATGGAAAGCAGCAGAAGGAAAGGTTTGATATGGTAAATAGTAGAACGTGATACTAGTAATTAATGTTTGCAAAGTGAATCAGTAATTGATGGAAGTGTGTTAGTGATACAAATCTCAGGTCTTGACGCGAAATTTAAGCATCTGCAGTGGCGACCTTTTGAAACAGGACGTAACTGAAGAAGCACTTGAAAGGTGCCATCATTGCTTTCTGCTCTCTTTCAGACTTTGAAATATGAAAGAAACGTTAGCATGGATATTTATTGCAGATAAAAATTTAATGCGTGAGCAGGAAAACTTTTCCTGACTTGTATTTGAAACTCCTGGGATTTGTTTGCGGCAGAGTAAAGCCTCTTTTTTCATCAGGTTCTGCTTAGCTGTCTGAAGTTTAATCTGCTTGAACTTTTTTATGTTTTTCTGAACGTTTTTGAAGGCTTTTCTGAAGTCAAAGATAAATTTTTCTCTTGCATCCAACAGCAAACAGTTTAGCTACCTTAAAAACCCCTACGAAACTTGAACTATATTATCTCAAAACATTCTCTTCTTGTATTTTCATACGTCAAGATAGATTAAAATCAGTTACTTCTCACATAGGCGAAAATAAATACACACAGTCATGTAATTATCTGTTAAATTGTTATGTAGATAGTTTGAGGGTGACTCTTGTCCTTCATCAGACAGAATGAATTTTTCCTGTAGAGGTTTCAGTAGCTGCAGCTGGAGGGAATCAGGCTTCTGATCCTTTCTGTTGTTCTCCAAAACAAAATTTGATGGTATTTTTCTGGACATCTTCAGTTTTACTGAAGATTTTAAAAAATTAGTTTTTTTAATCACATCATCACTGAGACCAGAAGGAGCCAGAAATAGTCATCAAAGTTCAGGTAAAGAAAAATACAAAAGACTGTTTTTGTTAGAAGAAGAAGCTCAGAAACCGAAGCACATCTTCATATTCTGTACCTTCCAAAACTATCATTAAACCCTTGAACAGGTAGACGTTTCAGTGTAATGAATCTCTATAAAATGATATTTAACTTTCTGAGATGAGTGGCAAAAATTATTAAACAATTTTACACAATATTCTATTTTTATTTTAGATATTATAGTACATTCTATGCTGCAGTAGTTATTTAATATTCAATATGGTAGCAACTTAAAAATGTATTACATTATTGCAAAGACTTTACTGTGTTTGTTTGAAAGTCATGTTACTTTGTTTAAGATCAGTTGGCTTTATTAGATAATTGGTTGCCACAATGGCAGCGTCAGCATTTCTCGTGTGGTCGCTAACAGTGTAAACTATAAATGAATCACTTGAAATAACTCAATAAAAAAATGGAACTGCTAAGATGATGTCAGTTTGCTCTGATGGAGAACTTCCATATCTGGATCAAACCGATTTCTATCAGGCCATGTTTAAACAGTCGGCTCTGTTGATCTGCAAACATCATAAACTCATCAAATAGTTGAGATGACATTCCATCACGTTTCCATCTGATAGGAAACCAGGACTGAGCAGAGGTAAGCTCAAGGCTCCTCACTGCTTTGTTTATCCAGGTCCACATTCTAAAACACGTCCAGCCTGCCCATCCTCTCTCCCTCCTCCATCCCTGACCTGTTCTATCTGCAGCACAGATTTGATTGAATTGATTTATTTCATCCAGAAGGCAGAGTTTAATCCTCCGTATGCTCAAGTGAGTCAAATCGATTTGAGCTTCACATTCTGTCCTCGTAGTGAGATCATGAAGAGTGCTGCAGTCAGGTCACATTAAGAAGTTGTCCAGTTAAACCCCTGAGTCTGTTCATGGCTGCAGATGATGCATCATTGAACATACTTTGAGCAGATGCACATCCCGACCAGAGAACTGAAGCTCGGTGCTGCAGTGCCGCTCTGGTCCATCAGACAGCTGCATAGATGTGAGTAAAGCATGTGCTCACGCTGGGATCACATGCTTTGGCAGACTCCATGATCGTTAATCCGTCTCTTTTGCCAATATTTCAACTGTGTCTGGTTTCATCAGGGAGGGATTACACAGGATTAGACAACCATGCCCAGGCCGACATGCAGTCATTCATTAAAAACCCATATGCAGTTGCTCACATGCCTCCAACAGAGCCAAAATTCACCCTTCATCCCCAAATCAGATGCATATGTAGGCCACACTTTAACACAGGTCCTGGGCCTTTCCTTCGGTCTCAGGAAAGTGTGCTGCATGATTACACAACACAGACCTGGTCTTCTTGCTATCATATCATGAACATGGTGGGGGTGTCACTGAAGCATGAGTGAAGGAACCATCTTTACCTCAGAGCTGAAGGTCGTCCAGCTGAAAGAGGAAAGCTGGGAGGGAAGCTGTCCTGTGATTTCACCTTTGTACCAAACAACAACAAACATTTTATGCTTAGCAAATGAAATGGACTCTCTGAGGTCACTGCATTATCTTCAGCAAGATATTCTTGTGTTGTCCCCCCTCAGTCCCCAAGAATTTATTTTTGTGAAAGATGCAATAAAGAAATATCTTACCTTAAATACTT